TGAGAACCCTCAAGTTTAAAGCTTGAAGAAATACCCAGATGCTATTTGTAGTTATTGCTCATTGATTTGCTAAAAAGGCAGTTTATTTGTTATCATTTCCAGTGCTTGTGTCACTACCAGTACAAACAGGGATTAGCTTCTTTGTGTGTTTACATGTCGGACATCAAATCAGTGATTTGCAAGTTCTTTTACATGAAGAATGTTACTATGGATGTTTTTTTACTTAGTCTGGAAACGTATGACGTATTTTTTTTGGTATTTGGATAGATCTGTGTTTTCAGAATTGATCTCCTCTCCTGCTGCCTAAATGTTTCCATCCATCCACGTTTAAGTGTGAAACTTGACGTCCCAAAACTCAACATTTTTGGTCTTTGATAATGTCAGTGTTCAAGAATGTTGGAGCAGTATGGATCCAAAAAGAGCCTGGTTTAGGTCCAGTTTGAGTCTCTGTTCTAAATTGCAACTTTATTTTACTTGCCAAACTCGACAGTTGTAGAAGAAAACGCAAACCTTGCAAACCTGTAGGTTGTATGAACATGTTCCACAACAGTTTTGTTTTGTTTGGAGTTTACATCTGTGTCTGTCCGTTATTTATGTCTGATAATAATCCAGTTTTGATTTTAACAGATGCAAATAACATAGATCTGATCACAATCCAAGCACTCATTGTAAATACAGTGAGACACAAAATAGGGCCAAATATGTGAAGTCTGACACAATGTAAGGAATTACTAACTAGAAATTCAGTACAAACTCAATACAAGCACCGATTTTTCACCTAACAGTTGAACTAACATGAATGGGTTTTGACTATGAGACAAAATTGGATCCATTGGATAAATCCTGTGAATGCAAGAATATGAAACTCAGTCAGGACATTATTGAATCCAGAACTTTTTCTTTTACTAACCACCAACAGCGGTGCAGTGCTACTGCTCTGTTACTGGATATCTTTGCTTATTGTGACATTGGTGCAATATTGTTCGAGGTGTTTTCGATGATTATGTTTCTATCTGTTATTCTTTAAGCCGTTGTGTCATCTAATGTTTTTGTTTTTTTTTTCTTCAGCTGCTTGAGGTTCGGTTTTTGTAGTGGATGTATGCAAATTATTTAAGTGCATTTTCATAGAACCGCCAACACTGATGCCTACATTTCACCTTTTCTACGCCATTAGGCTGAGTTAGATCGCATTACGATGACCACTCTGAGAATAGCTCCAAGTAGTTTATAGAGTGCAATCCTCTTTGCAGAGCCCTGGGACTTTGTCAGTGCTTACCATGCAGTATTTTATTTTATTTATTTCCCCCCTCCTTCTAAACCTTCATGCAACATAAAGGCACGTGCAGCACATTTGCCCTTTTTCCATTATGCGTCTGAGGTTTTACATGCGAAAACCCGAAAGTTGAAAGAGCTTTCCTGTCCCCAGAAGTGCAGACGAGCAGAGGACGACGCTTCGCATGATCTCCGAAAGCTGCAGCGGCTGTTGCTGTCGTCGTTGGCAAGGCATGCGATGGCATTCCTGGCTCTGTGCCCAGCTGCTGTCGTCTACGGTCTGCCACCCCTCCTCCCCCTCCCCAATCTCTCTCTCGCGTCCACACTAACTAGCTTCATTGTCCGTCGACCCCCCTCATCTTTATTGCTCAAGTGCACAGCGGCGAGGCATTTACTTGTTCACACGTTTACTCTCCGCTTCCACTTAATATTTTTTTTTTAAAGCAATTTTATGCTCTGGCTGTAATTGACTCACCTTGATCTCTCCTCGGTTATTGTTCCCGTCCTTTTTGTGTCCATCCTTTGTCATCACAGTGAGTGTCTAGTTTAACGGGGGGGACACCCAGCTGTAATCCCAATGGTCTGACAGGAGAGTGTAATTCCACAGCAGACCTCAGTTCGTTGGCCTTTGACCTTTAAATTCGCATGGAAAGCGCTTCCACATTAAAACATCATAATGCATAGTCTATTAGTCTGCTGCTGCGTATGAGTTCAAATCCGTGGCATTGTTTTCCTTTTTGCTTAAGTGTTATTGAGTTGTTAGGACAAATGTTTGTCTTTTTACTCAACATTTTTTAAAATTATTTTCAAAAAACAAATATGTCTGAAACTTATCAATCAAAATATACTCTAAAGTTGTTATAGTTGATATAAACGACAATTGAGTCCGGTTATGTTTATCAAAAAGCTGCAGAATTCAAAACAAAAATGGTACAACCATATGTTTATTTGTAAAAAAAAAAAAAAATAAATATATTGAAAATCATCCATAGGTTTGTCTTTGTAACTTGGCAAAAGGTAGAAAATGTACTGCATGACTGTATGGCGATCAGTAAAGCTCTAAATATGCTCACTTGTTCCGTTGATGCACATGTTTACGATTTAATTATTTAACCGTTTAGTTTAGCTGGAGGAGCAAAAGTTTCTTTAACTGCAACCATTTTGACCGACCTCCCAGGTCAGCGGAGGACAGCAGCTCACATTAACTGGAGCATCTCACTTATTGCCTACATGACAAAAACCTCACTGATGCAACGGCGGCTATATTTAGTATTGCAGCTGTAGGTTCTAAATCAGCCTGTTGCAGCTTTAAAAAACAAAAAAACTGTTGATGGGTATGAGTAACAGCTCTCTTCTGCATAAGTGGCAACAAAATTAATAATGCAGTTTTTGGGATAACATGTTAATACCACCAACGTACCTGTGTCTTCAAGTAATTTTTAAGCTTTTTTTTTTTTTTTTGGTAAATAAATTTTTCATCTTGATTTTAACTTGATTTCACCTCAAAAAACTATTGTTTTTTTTTTTTTCTCATTTTGTCTGATACCGCTACCTGACAGGTTGTTCTCTGTCTTGCTTCTGTATTTCTTTATTTGTTTGGGTTGTAAAAAAATAAAACATAACTGAGTGGTAAATAAAAGCTTATCCACAGCTACCTGATCAGAGTTCAGAGTTAAGCACGGGGGACATTTCCATATTATTGGCTGCAATTGCAGATGAGGCAAACATTCCAAACTAAAATGGCAAACATATTTTGTTTGCAGATATCAAATGGAGGAAGTTTGGGATCAAAATGTAATCTAAATTTATCTAAACCCTTTATTAACACCAAACCTGTTGTTGTTGTTTGGTTGCCACTTCAGCGCTTTAGGTGTTTTATTCCCAATAAGCAGCAAAAGTGCATGGATATGAAATTAAATTTTTCCCCATGGTCATGGTATAAAATATAACTACCGCTTATATTTTAGCGGTAGTTAAAGTTCATTTGATGATATTTTATGCGATTACCTCCTTCATATTGCTAACATGTATGGTAACATGTTGAATAGAAACCTGACCCTAAGACTAACCTATGTCTCAATATTGCAACAAAATTGGTTAGATGTTGATTTCATTCATTTACGTAAATGCATTCCCAGAATTGGTCAACATTTCAAATTCAAAAATACTTCATTCATTGATCCTAAAGGGATATTGAATAATTTTCTGGAAAGGCTGATCTGGAAACTGATTGTTAGTTTTTGTGTTTATACAAAATACAGTTTTGTGAGGATTCTAAAGTTCCCTCAAAGCCAAACTTAAGTAAAACAGCTGAACCTGTTTTACTTTGGCCAGTTCCACGATTGGATGAAACTGACTTCAGCGCCACGCTGAAGGGCGCTGTCTGTCTCCACCTGACTGCTCACTGGGACCTCTGGGAGCGCCTGTTGCCAGGCAGTGGCACACGTCACCATCGCCTGCAGTAGTGTGGTCTTGGTAGAACAGACTGGTTTCTCCAACAATGTCACATTTTAGGGTTAGAGGTAGAAAAAGAAAGACAAAACTAAAATTTTATTTTGTTTATTAAATTAAATGTTTAAAAAAAATGTATGAAAAATTCTTACTTGTCCATTTTGTGATGTAGACTCTGGACTGGAAATGACTTAAAGCTCTGGATATATTTCAGTGTGAATCAGCAGTGTAACACTTTCATCTTTAGAGCTGCTTATTGAGGTCATTTTCAGTACAAGCAGCAATGTTGACTAATGTCAATAACCCCAAATGGTGTTATGAGTTGTTTCTGTAGATAACTCAGAATGAATGTAAAATGAAGGCTAGGAGCACGCTGTTGGCTGCATAGCTTTCCACTATCTGTCCTTGAAAAACAAAGTAAATTCTGCATACAAGCACAGTTTACATGAAATTGCTTTGGAAATGAAAAATCAGCTCCAGTGGTGCATTCAAATTAGACCTTCCAATTTTACCTTGGAGAATAGGAAGAGGACGATGTCGCTACGTGAACTCGACACGCTGAGGCTCAACAGTGCAACCACCTAATTAAATATGCAGCTCAAAATATGACATCTGTGCAACTATTTTTGTTTCATTGGCAAGGCTGCACTTAACATTTTATTTACGTCTCTGGGCAGAGGTGTGGACGCTTTCTTTTTTTATTTTTTTTTATTTTTGTCTGTACAACATGCAGAAAGTATACTGTGCAAATTGAGTCCTCACTGGCTGAGTCTGCAGCCAACACAGAGCAGGTTAACTTCTCACCCAGTGAGTGCGCTTGTCAGGCTCGGTGTTTGTTGAGACAGTCGGCAGCCGTGGGTTGACCAGTCTGATGTGCCCCTTTTGAAATGGTGCCCACCCACAACTTCCATCAGCCATTCACAACAAGAGCCAGTTTGAACTGCTGAATTTTCGAGCTCGCAAAAATAGCTTGGAGGCTCTTTCCTGGCTGTAAAAGCACAGCTGTCTTAAGCTGTGCTCGCGTCGTTGACTGTCATCAACTTCTGACGTTCTCTTAATTACCAGAGGTAGTGAAATAACGATTTTAAATGTGTTTTTAAAATATGAGAAAGAAGTCGGGCACAGCCCTGGTATTCTCTGGTGTCCTGTGAAGAACTTATCAACGCTGCAGGTGGTTAAGATTAAGCTTTGTCCTTCCTTGTCTTTATATGTTTTAGCTGTGAAAAGAAGCAAAAACACAAGAAGAAAAACATTTGATGGAAGATAAGAAAAAGAAAAAACAAGAAGAGAAGAAAAAGAAAGAAGCTGCACAGAAAAAGGTGAGCATTCGGTCCAAGTTCTGTTTTGAATTGTGTCTCTTCCCTACATTTATTCATTCATCAGCTTTTTTTTTCTTCTTCTTCTTTTTTTTCCTGCTCACTTAATCCCGTTCAGTGAAGCTGAGGCTTATCCCATCTGGTGAAAGGCAGGGTATAACCTCGACAGATCGCCAGGCCATTGCAGGGTTTTAGAAAAACATCCATGCATGCACGCAGCCTCTCTCCTAAGGTCAGCTCAGGGTCACCGTATAACCCAACACGCCGTGCACAGAGAGAGCCGCAAACATGCACACTCCTCCATCAAAAGTCTGAAAACCCAGACTGAAAAGCTTCCTGTTGTGGCGCACGAGTTTTAATAGCAGTACCAACATAAAATCTCTTCATGTAGTCGAGCTTTAATTGTTTCTACTTATTGTTTAATAAAATCTGATGTTATAAGATTTTATAACATCTTCGTAAGACCTCAGTTTTAATGCAGGGTCAGGCCATTTTAGCTCCACTGCCTTATCAGCAGTAGATAGAGGGAGCGACTCATTAAACATTTCTCCGCAAAACTCATTTATGGTGTTTTGGATCAGTTAAGTTTAATTAAATATATTTTTTTAATTGTGAAATATAGTTTAATTATGGAACTTAAACCATCTCTTTTGGGGGGTAAAATATAAGTTTTGCATCACATCTCTTGTTACGCAGTGTGTGTTTCTTTTCATTTATTCATCAATTGCTCAAGTCTTGGGTTCGCACAGGTGTGTTCAGTACAGCTACAGAACCTGCAACAGTTGCATTTTAAGTGCAGTGTAATATAAAGACATTTTCCCTCATCATGCATTACTATAGTGCCTATAAAACATATTCACCCTCTTTTCATATTGCTTTTACAAAGCTCTTGTATCAAGAGGCTGGATTTTCTTTTGATAAAATGAAGGACAAACTCTTTATAATTTGCTAACTTTTTCTTTAAAGAAGCACATCAGTATGTTTGAGTGTAATATTAATACTGAATAAAGAAAAAAAAAAGAAATATTCTGGAATATGTTCGCCTGGCATTCTGGGTGTTTTTTCTATTTTTCTCTAGGCTTCCATCACACTTAATGTGAACATGGCAGTAAACGTCCCACTTGCCTTTCTGCTTTGCATAAATCCAATTCTTTGAAATATTTGTATTTTGGTGTCGTAGGTCAAATCTTCATTCATTTTTTTTCTCTTTTGTTACAGACCACAGAACAGATAACCAAAGGTAAGTGTTTGAAGTTTCAAAAACCTGTTTTGTTACTCTTTAAGAGCAAAATGTTGTTGTTTTTACACATAAAAAGCTTAGTCTACTGTGCTTTCTGCTTTGTAAATAAGAAGCAAACTTACTTTAAGGATAAGAAATTGTATTTTTGTCTCCTTAGATAGAGGCGCTTTGAAAATCCCAGAGAGCCACTGTTTGATCTCTGTGTGAGAATAAAAAGCATGAAGCTGAATTAAGGTGAAACATTTAAAGTTGAAAATGAAAATATCTGGAGCCGGGTGGTCGGAACCGCCTGAGCTGAATGTGGATGATGTAGGGATGATGCAGCTCCTCCTCAGGTCTCCCTGTCGGCTCCACAGGCTTACCTAGGAGAACGGAGGTGAGAAAGAATCTCAGAATAAAAGAAAAAATAAATCAAATAACAAACAATACAAATGCATAAAGGGAATTGCCTTAGAAGACGTTGTGAAGAAGACTGGGCTTAGCTTGCAGGTTTTAAACTCTGGTTCTGTTAAAGCTTCACTATTTATTTTTGTCTCCTCAGGCCAGTGTTTGTAAAAAAAAAAAAAAAAAAAAAAAATCCTTTTATTGGGCTGAGCAAGCATGTTTGGAGCCGGTCTCTGTTTCAGGACAGACGGGGGGGAGAAAAATTCGATTAGACCTTCAGGCAGTTGTTGACAGCAAGGCATTAATACAGCAAAATTAGCTGTGAATGTTGAAATTTTCTACCGTTCAGATAAGTGTTTGTTGCAGTGGTTAAAACTCTTTTTTTGTAACTAGGAGAAACCTTATTTGTGCCTTTATTACATTATATCACAACTTTTAAGCAAAGAAAAGCCTCTCTCTAGTAAATAACTATTGAGAAACACAACAGCATGTCATGGCCTAATATTAGAATTGTTTTCATGTCGGAGAGAGGAAGGAAATGATTAATGGTTTTAATGATTGACCATATTTAAAAAAAACAAGTAAGAATTTTATATTCACACTATTTATTTTTGTATTTATTTATTTAGTTTTACTTGAATACTTGCCCTAATTATCTTGCATCCACTAATCAGGGTATTTGTAAGACTGGAGCGGTATGGATTTTTTTCCTGTCCGCTGTAGTTTATATGATGCCCTCCGATCTATACGGTCTAAGAAGAAACTTACAATGCAGGAATAATTGCAGCATTTCTTCCACAGTTTATTTCAAGAAGTTTCTTAAACTGCTTCAGAAAGGTGAATCAAGCCAGTAACGCAAGACCATATTCTGCATTACTTTGTTACAAGGGCTGAAACAATTAATTGGATTAATTTTGGATAATCGATCATTGAAATAATTAACTAATTTAGTAATCGAATAATTAACCGGAGTATACTTTAAACATGACATGTGATGTAAGAACAACACCATCAAAACAGTAATTAAGCTAAAATTGTACAAAAAAACATGCCAGAACTCCTCATCTGGCATAGTTTTAGCGTCACCCGTTTCAAATTACTTAAAAAAAAAAATTAATTTTTTTTGCTGTCTAATTACTTACCAGTTTATCAAAAAAAAAAAACAAGTCAATTACAGAAAGGGCTGAGCTGTTCACATGTTGCCTAAAAACCTTTAGACAACTCATTTGTCTTATTTAAAAAAGGAATTGAATTATTACTAAAACGTTTAAGTGATTAAATAAAAAATTTGCAGACTGTTCCATTTTTTTATTCGATTACTTGATTAATCGTCCAATACTCGCTTACTAACGTAATCGTTAGCTTCAGCCCGGTTCTTACAGTTAACACAGCACTAACGATATTTAGAAAAAAACATTAACAGATTTCTTGAAGGTGAATTATATTTTGGACTAGCAACTTAAAAATATAGATTGTTTGTGATAGTAATTTAGGGTAGACTGGGAGCTAATTAGGACAATGAGGAAAGTGTGGGGGATGAATAAACATGCATCCGTCCTCTGGAGGTTTCCAGCAGCACCCGAAGCATCTTAATAATGTAACTGCTTCCATCTCCTGTCTGGTCTGGCAGAGAGGCCCACCCTGGGAGCAGAAGAAAGGGAGGGCTGCAAGGAAAAGGTTGAAATTATTATATTTTTTTTTTTTGCTGTTTGGTGCGAAGCAAAGAGAAGGTGAATGCTGAAACGTGGGGGCTCAGGTTGATCTGAGGGAGCAGGGAGAAAACTGTGTGCGAGAGCAAAAGAAACAGATGGAGCTACGTGAAACTGAGACTGAACTCCAGTTTCCTGTTTGCCGACACAGCTGAGGGGGCCCGTTGTGGGTTGTTTCTCCTGGCCCACTTCTGTAACAGACATGCAAACACATGCTGCCTCTCTGTTCCAGTCCCTTAATGTAACAGTCAAATATAGATTTTTTTTTTGTTTTTCTTACTCGCTGTGTTTCCGAAAACACTCAAAACACCCAAGATGTTGACATGAGTTCAAACATTATCTGAAGCGTTGAGCTGATTGCTGCTCATTAGCTTCTGCTGCAGAATTGACGGTTGCACAAGCAATCCTTATCCCCAGTGTTCAGGTCCTAATGTTCTGCATGATTTAGTTTATGACATGTTTTCACACACCTGCGTCATTAACAAGCTTCTGCACACCTTGTCAACACTGAGGAGGTAATCTAATCAACTGATGGCTTTTATTTTGCTGCTTATTATGAAGCCAAAAAGAAGGAAGTAATGCAGTGTGTTGCTGAACTATATATACTTTTTAAAGTTTTCGATAATTTGACATTGCAACCACAGATTTCAATAATGCTGTGACAGAGCAACACAAAAGTTGTGCATATGGAATATAACGCCTAGTTTTCAACTTCATGTTTTAAACAAAGTGCTTAACACTGTTGTTTTTTTTTTTTTGTTCTCAACCTCATTTAATCTGTTGAATAAAATCCAGTCCAGCAGAAATAGTCCACCTGCGTGTTATTCAAACTCACTATAAATACGTCTGTCCTTTGAAGGCCTCAGAGGGTTTGTTAGAGAACAAAGAACGTCTTAAAGCTCAAGGATCTCAGCAGACAGGTTTGGGATAAAGTCGAGCATCTCACTATAAAATGGAAATAATCTGACACAACTGCAAAGCTGTTAACCAGTGGCTAAACACCTTAACTGAGACCTAAGGAGCGCATTAGGAAGGAGCATGAGTGATGGCGTTGCTGCAGTCAAAGAAGGAGCTCTGTTCAGATGACACTTGAAAACTGTTTATCTCAGTTGATCTCTATCTGAGTGAACTGGCAAAGAAGAATGGGCAAAAACGTCCGTCTGTAGATGTGCAGAGCTAGCGGAGACGTGCCCCAAACGACTTGCAGGTGCAGATGCAGCAACAATTTTTATTTGTAAAATTAAAAAAAAATAAAGAAAACCATTCCACTTTTCAAGTGTGCTCTACTTTATGCTCGATTATCATATACAGTCCCACGGTTTGCTGGTAAACATCAGGATATGATTTTGGTCTGCTGGCTTATATTGCTTTCATAATATTTGGTCCTGAAATTTAATTTCACTGTTTACTGCTGGGTGACAGCGTACTGCTGTGAATGAAAAGGTTGACTGTGACAATAGTGAAGCGAGCGCATAGCTGTGTTTGATCCCATCCATCTTCTGTTGTTGTGTGACATTATAGGTCCGAATCCCAGCAGCTACTGGCATGGCGTTAACACTGTAAAGTAAGAAAAAGGGACAATCTACACTGGCAGCTTGTTTCTAAGTTTATTCCAGAGTTCAGTGCCATCATCAAAAGGATGAGTGAAGCACGCACACACGTCGAGGCGCACGTTTACGTATTGCCGTGGATAACATTATTAGAAAGTGAATCTACAGCTGTTGTTTCATAGTCAATCAATTTAACATTTCATAGTCTCTTACTTACTCAGTTATTTATGTTTGACGTAGAGTGGTGTGATGAAAATGGGATTTATGCAAGATGACCTTTTGTTATCATTACTGCCTGATCCCTTCCTCATGTCTTATCTAAACAAAAGCATCAGTTGTATAATAACTGTTATATTCGTAGAAGAACTGGAGTAACAGATGGTTTTGCTCCTACCGTCATCGTATTGCACAAGCCTTTCAATCCTTTTTAACTCTGGGTACCAAATTCTCCTGCACCGAAATAGAAAAATAAAATTAAGTCGTTTCTATACAACGTAGAGAATACCAAGTAAGATTTCTCTCCGTCAGTTTCTCGCTGTTCGTGTGTGAAGTCCCTATTCCAGCCTGAGTTGGTGTAAGGCCCAGCAGGTGCTGCTCAGGTCAGGAGGACAGGACATTCCAGCCTCTTTCATGCTTCGCTTCTTCTAAATCAAAACACAGAGGAATCTGCGCTGCCTACAGCTGCCGGCACAAAGGGCACGAGCAGGGGAGTGATGACTCCAGCAAAGTAGTTTTGTTTCTCTCCTGCACCTGACTTTTGTAAGCAGGGGTCTTGGAGACGAGCCTCTCTGACCCATAAAGCTGCAGAAGGGAAAAAAAAAAAAAAAAAAAAAAACAAAAAACATCTGTATTTTGAGGCGCACTAGAAGCAGAGATGGATTTTGGTGTTGAGCTATTCAGGTATAGTTAGGACTTGAAAGTCTGACCTATATAACACTGAGTGTTCTTGTAGATATTAATTGCTTTGAGTAGCGTTAGTCACTGTGTGAAATGTGATGAGGGGAGAGGTTCCCATTCGAACCACTGTGTCACATTTATTCATTTGTAATTAAAGCTTCCAGTCTACTCTGGTGAGGTTTGCTGCTCATATTTTAAAGCCCCGTGGAAGATGGAGATGAAAGCCTCTAAATACCTCATCAATATTTGATGCTTTTCCTCCACTTTTTAATGAGCCATTTGATAAGGATACGTCTCTATTTTCTTGTTATCTTCAATTATCCTGATTTACCGTTGCAGCTTGACAGCGAAAGTGTTATACACACTGCTGGCCACATGTATTGGCACCCTCTGCTGCAGACGTTTGAAAAAAATAAAAAAAGAGCTTTGTATTGCAGTTGTATAATCTCCTGCTGAAAAT